TCATCATAAAGTAATACAATACTTGATCTTTGAAAGTAATCAAATTTTCAACGCGGATTAAAACCTTATTATTTTCCAATAAAAATAAATGAAATTTAACAGAAATCTAGATTTAATCAAGTGCAACGTTAACTCAGTGGTCTCCAGCTTGAGTCTGTGTTTAAAATTTGGTGGGTTCTATGCGTTGTACTTGTGGTTTAATATAAGTTGATATTAGGAATATAGTTTGCTACATTAATTTTTGTAGTGTAATGTTATGGGTGTTACTTCTTCATGATATTAAGATTATGACACGAGAACCGCAGCAACAAAACCACCAAAACAGACTATCTTCTTTGCCGAATTTTGGAGATTTTTGGATTACCAATCTATTGATTGTGAACATGTGATGTAAGTGGATCCCAGAATAAAGAAATTTTTTTTTCACAATTTTATATAAAATAGAGTGTACTGCTTTAGCATAACTTCACTTCAATAGTTTTTAAGAGATATAATGAAAATATTTGAACAAATTAGGTTAGTTTGATCTAATTAAGAAAAAACAACAAATGGTTGAAGCCTTTATATTTGGACTCCGGTTTGCCTGGACATTTCTATCTTTTGTCTAAATCCCACTTGTCATTATCTTCCACTTGACTATATTATTTATATACTTCATGAGCACCGAATCATGACAAATGTGATTAATGATATATCAGATTTTTTTAACTTTGCAACTTTTGTTAATGGTTGGCAATAAATTGGTATGGGTTGAGAATATTGACCACGATTTGTGTATACTACAAGCACTCTATGCAAAGTAATTAGAAAATTCAATATAATAATCATGTCGGATTACATGAATTCTTTAAAAATAATTTAAAAATTCTTATATGTGAAAATATTAAGCTTACATTTCTACGTTTTTCGAAAAAGAATGAGAACCATTGATATCGATAACTATATTTTACAGCTGAGAATGTCAACATTTCAGTTCGGAAAGGTTTAAGAATTCATCCTGAATCGTTTCAAGCTTCTAAAATGTGGAAATTAACTTCACAAAAAAAATCTGTTCGCGAAGTTCATACAGCAATTCGTCTATTAGTGAAGAAGCTCATTTCTGTTGGAAACGGTTACGTCAAAAATTGCCATATATGGAGCGAACATTCATTAAAATTGATAGTTTGGTGCGGTTTACTCGCTAGAGGCATCATCGGTCCTTATTTCCTTTCAAATGAGGTACGACCTGCCATTACGGTGAATTGCAGGCGGTTTAGATCTATGCTAACTGAATTTTTGTCAGCAATTCCAAAAAAAAAATTATTTAGTTAAACACCGATATTATTTAGCATTTGGTTCCAACAAGACGGCGAAACGTGCCATACACCGCGCTCAACAATCAATTCGGCAAGAACTTTATTTCTAGAAGTGGTCCTCTTAACTGGCCCCCTCGTTTGAGCGATTTAAAGCCTCTCGATTATTTTTTATGGTACTATATTACTCATTGGTTCATGCTGATAAATCATCCGACTCTTTAAGCATTGATAGCCAATGTTTATGCCAACATTGACGCCATACGGCCACATTTATTATTTATTATAGTCAAAATTTAGACATCGATTGAAACATGTAACTCGTGGCTGCAGTAGACATATTCCGAATATCAATATTAAAAAATTAATGTCACGAAATTATCTTCTAGATTATAATAAAAAAAAATTTCGTTCTAACAATGTATCTGTCTTATTTCTATTTTCTATTTCTGGTACTATCATATTAAGTCCCCATGTGGTTTAAAAACATATAATATTTTCTTTTCTTTAGTTCATCACAATTATTTTTTTGTAGCTGCTATATATTGACTAAGGTCCCCGAGATCTTATCCTAAACTGTTTATCCTCTAAATGCGTTATTTTACAATATGAGGCACTTAAAATCATTGTGGATATAGTAGGGCTTAAATAAATCCTTTTATGATATCGCGGAAAGGTGAATCTAAAAATTATAACTCATAAAACGCTTCAACGATATGAAAGGTTTAACCATTCAATTTTATTTATTTTTATTATGAGAGGAAAGAGAGTAACATAAGGCAGTGTAAAGTAAGAATAAAATTCAAGTTATTTTCTAACAAGTTTTTACTAATAAAATGTAAGGACTTAGATTAGTTTAGGTGAAATGGAGTGGAGTGGAGTAGAACAAATTATTCTCAATTAGTTAAGAAAACCGTTTTGATTTTATAATTTCATGTAATAGTGGATAGAAAATTGGTCATGTTACAACCAGCTGGAAGATTTGATAAATGCGAGTGTCTAACCAATGCAAATGCTGAAAATATCACGGGAGTATTCAAAAGCTTCAGCCTGAAAACCATTTATCAATCAGAGGTCTAGTTGTAAACCATCTTAATCCACAATATGACTGCGGTTCACAGAGTTGTATGGCAGAGTCTGACTTCGCAAGACTGTCCGCAGACTCTTTACCACTAATCCCTGTGTGACCAGGCATATATATACATACTTATACATATTAAACATGAAAGCACTCCAGACAGGTGGAGAGAAACTTTGTTTTGGAGAGAAACTTTGTGTCTACGTAGAACTCTGAAAACATGGTGGCTAGACTACTCTAAAAAACAGCAAAAAATAAGATAAAAATGAGAAAGTAGATGTGTATAGACCATACGTTTAGACAACCGAATGATTACATAGAGAGGCAAGCGTTGGCATGGAATCCACGAGGTAGCAGAAGACCTGGTGTTCCAGTGAAAATGTGGAAAAGAATAGTCGAAAATAAAGGTGCTGCTGAAACACGACATACATGGAACGACATCTACAGAGACGCACCAAATACATTCAGATGTGGACTAATTATTGAGGCCCAATACCCCACTGAGGGAACTGGATTATTATATTATATTAGATTATTATACTACCAGTATATATATTACATATTATTACTGTTGTGGCCATAACAGATTCTTCTACGAAAGTACCTGAGCTGTTTGAGTGTCTTTGTTTACAAAATTTTATCATTAGAGCTTATGGTGCTGTACCGTACCACAATTGATTGCCATCCTTAGAGTTTACAGGGATTGTGAGTTTATGTGAGTCGAAAACTTCGTGCCAAGTTTGTACGGAAAACTATAAAACTTGGTTTGAAGTACCATCGTTTGAAACCAAGCAACCATTGTTTGATGGAATGATGAGTGCAATTGTAAGCTCATCAAATAAAATGAAATTAAATGAATTTTTACTTCTCTTATCCAACGTTTTAGTGCAGTCTCTGTTTTATTGTTATCGTTACTTAACCACACAGTGAAAGACGAATTCATTTAGTTTGTAAGTTTTATGTGCTTGGAGTTCGAACCTCGAGGGGGGAATAAAAACTTATTAAAATGAAATTATATTGCGGTTGAAATTGAAAATCAATTAATTTTTTGCAATTGTTTTCTGCGATATTTTATACTCGTATGCTCATTCCGTTTCCTTCTCTGATTGATGCTGGCGGTCGCCACGTCTATCTGAATTTCATTGCAGTCTATCAAAGTCTAGAGTTCGTTTAGTTTTGTTTTTATTGTATAATTTGCAGTAGCTAATTAAACGTTTGAGCACTTAATTGAAAACTGTTTATCAAGTGAATATTGTGCAATGCTTTGAAAATTAAAAGTAATCAGCTTCAGCGGTAAAGACGGGATGTATAGCGGTCGATTGATTACCGCACGAGACGTTTTTAATTTAGAATCAATTAAGCAATAATTAAGCTTTGTAGCCAAAGTGCAGTTTCAAATGTAAATGGAAATTGCGTTTGTCAACCGATTCCCGGGTTTGAAGCGTTGTCAGATCTGGTACGGCATTGATTGCAGCCTGTAGGATGTACGATAAAACTCGCGCAGTCATTAAAAACTGCAACTCAGGTTGGTGGTCGCTTCACTAGGTAGACATTTCTATACTATGCAGACGTTTGCGTCGATGCAGAAGTCAGGTTTGTCGAAATTATTTGAGAGCTAAAAACACGTGTACGTAGATATATTGCACATACCGATACCGATTGGTTGTGTTCCAAACATCAAGTCGTAAAACACATAATCAAGCCTTAATTCACAAAAATTATCTGACTCGCCGCAGTGAAAGAAAGATTGTGCCTGTAATGCAGTCAGCATGACCACTCGGGCACTCGAGCACATGAGTAGTTGCTACTTAGTTAAATAAATTAAAAAAGGAGTCTTTATGTAAGTACGAAGTTGTCGTTCAACATCCAAAAAAGGCAAGAATCCGCGGCGAATGAAAGTCGTGTTGCAACCAATCTTAACCAGTTTGAAATATCTCGCAGATTGTGTACTTTTTGCACGGCTGAGAGACTTTAGGCTTCAGGTTAAAT